GCCCCAGGTACCTGGGGGTTCATGCTAACATTGTTCAGCTTGTCGGTGCTGCTGGATATAGTGACAGCGAGCTGAACTGAGTAAACCAGAAAACATGATACCGTGTTTGGCTATTACAGTTCTCAAAGCAAGCAAAATGTCAGGTCTCTCTGTGCCCTTGAGGCAAGTGCTACAAGCTCAGTCAAAAAAAAAGAAAAATAAAAATTTCTCTTTAAAAGAAAAAATAAAGATTTTTTAAGAGAATTGAGAACAAATATTTGTGTTGGGACAGTGCTGTCTCCTAAAGCTCCAAGGCAAGAGTACAGAGGTCGGGGTGAGAACGCCCTTGGCAGCAGGCAGCAGCTCTCCTCCCCTGCTGCCCTGCCAGCTTGTCCACTCCTATGAAGGTACCTTTGCTCCCTTCTGTCCTACCTATTGCACATATCTTGGCACACAGCTCCTGCTGAACCTGGAAGCCATGTAAGCTTTTCATGGAGAGAGCAGATTAAAAACTATTTTGCCCTTGTCAAAGTAAATTCAGTCCAGCTTCACTGAAGATCCACACTTTTCGTATGGGTCCTGGTAGCTCTGGCTAGCTCCTCTGCCAGGTAAACCTTGGACTGCTGCACAGCAGCTGCTGTTGGGCTGCGATGGAGTTGTCATGGGTTGCGCAGAGCAGTGCAGCACTGTCAGCAGCTTTCTGGGAATCATAGCATGCAGCAGCCCCTTGCTGATGGCTGTTATCAGCAAACATTGCCCTTTTGGATAGGGTAAGCAGACAGCTGCTGCAAACCCAGCCTGTGCGTGCAGTGTCTGGTCGATGGACTGCTTTCCTCAGAGGCATTTTGCAACTAAGCTATAGCATCGTGGTCGAGGAAGACTGTCTAGAGCTTGACAGTTTTGCCTAGTCAGCTGATCTCTCCCTCCAGCTCTTATCTATTGCCTATCTCAATCCCTTTTACTGTTCGCACATTTCCAGCCGAGTATCATTCACTTTCTTGCCAGCAGGATTCCTTAACATCCCTGGGCTTTCTTCTCCCATGCAGACCTGTGCAATATTCAGCTCAGACCTTGGCCAAACCTGGAATTTCTTTTACTTGGGCACAAAACTGTAAAAGTTTGTGGAAAGATTCTCAATACTTCTTTGCATTACAAAAGTGCCTGCAGGCTTCTGCTGTTGTAGAGCACCGTTGTGATAAGTTTGTAAGGGAATATATACCTCACACAAAAACTACACTAAAAAAAGTTTTCCCATTATGGTTATAGTTTCCTATAATTGCTATCTTTGGTTAGTTGTACTAGAATCCCCTGCCAGTGCATTTCTTGCCAGAACAGATCTTTTGATGCTTGGTTAGGTTGGTGTGTAGAAGTCTTTTAGTGGTATAACTGTTTTAACTCTATGGCTTTGGTCTCAGCGTAGGCAGTGTTCACACCTCTTCTTCTGGACATGTGTTTGTGGGCAGAAGGTAACTATCTACAGTCCCTCTCCAGCTGCTTGTCACTGTTCTGCATTTGAACTACTACTCTGGCAGCTTCGCTTGGACTGTTTAGGGAACAATTGCAAGAGCAGCAGATCCATTGGATTCAGGAGGGCTAGATTTAATAGTGACCTGAGGAACCATTCAAGGGGGGCTTTGAGTGGTAACCCTTAAATTGGTACAAATACAGATGTGGATGTCTGAGCTCAGCCCAACATAGAACAAAAAACGTCTAGTGTAGAGCTGGTAATAAATGAAGGCCTCAGCTCAAATAATTCACTCTAAAAGACAGTAACAATGATGTGGGTATGAAACAAACTACTGATGATATTGTCTCCTAAACAGTTTTTGTTGTTTTTTTTCTGAGACACCATGTAGAAGTGGGATTTAGATCTTGGCTCTGTGATCTATCATGTGTATCATATGGATGAAGGTATTTCTAGTACATTAAATCACATGGCTACAGTTGAGGGGATATGCACCTTCCAACTTTAAGCAAGTGGCAGAACCTCTTAATTCACACAAATATTCATGTTTTTAGTGATCTGCAAAATTGAGCACTTTGGAGATTTACAAAATATATGCACTTCATAGGAGTAGCTCCCTTGAGCTGGTCAGCTGTGCTGTTACATCTGGGCAGCAAATGACAGCACTGGCTGAAGCAGCTCTGATTTTGAGAACAGAATAATTTAGCTTAACTTGTGTCATGTATGTTCTGGCTGTGGTTATACTACTTCCCTTTTCAGAGGCAGGACAGCTCCTGGTCCCTGCATTGTGCTCTGTGTGTTGGCAGAGCTGTACGTGAAGGCCCCAAGTTCTGTTTAAAACATGAGCTGATCAGCTACCAGTGACTAGTAGCAAAGCTCTGCAGCACTGCCCAGGGAAACATCACCCATCCAACTAATGTCCAAAATTCTGGGAAAAGGGGTCCAAATCCTGGACCATAATCATAGAATTTATTTTTATGTAAGCTTTTGTCACATAGAATTTGAAACCCTTGATTTTCCATTATTTCTAGGAAGAGAAGAGAAAGCATAAGTCAATTTTCTTTCTCCAGGGCGGAACATCCTGACTCTTACAATGTATGCTGATGGCTTGCCTTGTCGTTTCATGAGCATCCTATTTGCTATGGGTATAAGATTATGCTCTGTTTTTTTGATTTTCTCATAATCTACAGATGGGCAGACAGAGTGCTGCTTTTTGCTTGCCGAATATAGTTTTCATGAACAGCAACAACTTCACTTTGCTCCTTGCTACATTCTGAAATTATCACTTGTGCTCAGTAAAGACTTTCCTGAGTCAGACTCAGGAAGAGAGCACACTGTTCCTTCTGCTGAGAGCCCCAAAATGAAAGCTTTAAATTTAATAATCACTGTTTTTCTTTTCTATTTTCTCTCTGCTTTTGAGAGCCTAAAGATTAAGTTCACATTTACACTCAATTCACATTTTAGGCTTTGCTTCTAAATAATGAGGCACAGAACCTTCGTATTTAGTTTTACATGAAAGTTGAGATTCTTATGTTATAAGGACCTGGGACTTTAAGAAAACAGAAACTGTTTCAAGACTTGCAATAAACCCATGAATTTATGCTGAGTTTCAACTTAGAATATTATTTTTTGCAACTGTATAAAGCAGAAACTGATTTTAAATGGTCCTTTGCATTCTGTAAGAGTTGGTTACTTATAAGGGAACTCCTCTTAGTGCTCAGAGTAAGACTTTCAAGTTATGGATCAGTTATACAAGTAAACCACAAGCTAATGCAAATCTCCATTAAGTATTTCCAGTGATGGGTGACGAGAAAGAAACATGAAACAGAGAGAGAGTAAAACATTTATAAACCAGAAGATATCAAAAGGATCCAGCTTCTGCCTCTGACCTGTGATGCCAACAGTAGCTATTTCTTAACTTTGTGCCATTTTGTTTGTAGGGGCAATTCTTGAAAACTTTTGCAGAGCTACCCATCCTCAACAGGTTCCTTAAATGTCTTCATTGTCACTTTAACTTAAAAAAGGAAAAAAAAAAAGTAATGGTTAGTCTAGCGCAAGACTATTGTCTGCCTTACTGACTGTCTCCTTTTTTCCTGAATTAGTCACATTATCCTTCTGCTATATTACATCTCATCCTTAGACTGCAGGCTGTTTGGAATAGGGAGTGACTTTTCCTTCTGTTTGTACGGCATCTAACATGGTATGATCCTGCTTCATGACAATAGCTGTTGGGTGTTATGGTCACATAAATAATACATACTAACCTGACATAGTTGATCCCTGTGAACTGCTTTGGACAAAGCTTAATGTGGGTATGTGGGAGAGGGATAGTAATTTCTTAGATACTAAAAGGTATGCCATAAATCTTTCCTTTCGCAAGCTCCTTGATGGGCAGGAGGTTAAGGCTGTCTGAATGTTTCTCTATCCTCCTTGCCATGACACTCCCTATTTGTGAGTCAAAAAATGCTGTCAAATGCTTGGCTGTCTCACAGCTTCACAGTGGGAACAAAATATTTAATGAAGTCAATGGGAAAGAAGTTATATTAATGCGTATTAGTATAAAGTCAAGTATTTTAACCATTTCAGAGGTTGCTAGGTAAAGTGAATCACCACATAGAATACAGGCATTGTATATTTCCTATTCACTATTTTCATTTCATGAATAAAGCATCCCACTGCTTCTGTCCTGAGCCCATTCAATTTGCTGTGCAGCTTCTGCTGTTCCATAACTGAAACTGCCTGTACTCTGTGCTAGACCTGGCTCCTAATATTGTGGTCAAGTGTTTCTTAGTTGTTTTTAGTAAGACTCTTTTTATCTCTTCTGGAGTGTACAGCTGTGGTCATCAACCTTTGTTTGGTAAGTTAGGAATCTGTTCTTTAATTAAATCAATTAAGAAAAGTACATTAAAAGTCTTGTCTACTTAGAAATGAAGCAGCTAGAGCAAAACAAGGAGTAATTCGTATTTTCCTAGAAGGTTTCAATGTTTTCAAATGGAAGGTTGCGGGGTTTGTTTTTTATTTCTTTATTTATTATTGATTTCAAATATCCACAGATTTACCACATTGCTTTTCTTGGGTGCTCTTTAGGCTTTATCCATAGGTCTTCCTTTGCTTTCAAAGGTTTTTATATCATCAGTTAGTGCATATCCCAAACAGGCTTTTAGATACCTGTTAAAGAGCAAGCTAGGCATCTAAATTAAAAAGTGCCATGTTGATATTTATCTCTGTTCATCTGCTATTGTAACCTAACCCTGAGCTGCTGAAGTTTATGAACTTTCAGATTTCCTAGACGCTATAAATCTCTTGCTGCTTGCATGGTTTGTATCATCCAGTTCTTCTTCGACTGAGCAATCTGGTCTATATCCATCTTAGTCTCTTTAGTGTCCCAGCCTGGTAGGAATTCCCGGATCACATCTCACTTGGCAACAAAAATGAGCACCCTCCAAAATGCAATGGCATTTGCAGAGGCAACATGCTTCTTCCATTAAAATGTTGTATAGGCAGGAGCAGCCTCTCTTGTACAGCAATGCAGTTTGAAGGATTCCAGTCTGTGAATCTATAGGTGTTTGCAGGTCATTTGAAGCGGGCAGCAGAAGATGACTAACAGGGCAAGTTTGGCAGTGTGATGCCTTCCATAATGGTACAGAAAGTCTCACTGGTCTTGCATTTCTTTTGCCCTGCAAAACATGGTGGGAATTTTATGCCTTAATACCACTGAGAAGGAGTTGTCTGAATGTCTCCATGGTCACTTAAAAGTTTTCTACAGAGCGAGGGAGGCAGCTGAAGGAACATTCATGTGCACAGAGATCTGATGCAAGCAAAACAACTCCTTCCTATTTTCCTTGCCATAGGTTGCCTAGATTTTGGCGGCGGTGGCTGATATGCTGCCACTGCCGCATCATTCCTTCCACCCATGAAGTGCAGGGACTGTTAGCACTCCAGTGTTAGCAAAAAAACGTACACTCTATCAATTACTGTTATTCAGTCCTTTTTTCTTGCTTATGCTGATGAAAATTTGAGAACAGCTGTAACAATCTTTCTCCACTGATGAAAAGTTGTGTTGTCACAATATGTTACCCAGTCCTACCACTAGTCACAGCCATACTTTTCTCCATTGGGTGCTGCTGTTGTGCATTTTCAACTTGCCCGTTGATCTGGGATGCAAGATGGACAGTGTGAATTGAATCCTAGACTGAAGCAGTGTTGTGAGTGAGAAATGTTTCAGTCTCACTCCTCATTATACTTTTCTTCAGAAAGGCAGAAAATTATTTTACAGTTAGTACAACCCAAAAGAAAAAAGGGAACATTGTATCATTGCTGCTGGGTCTGGAAAGAGAACATGTGGTATGGCCCAAATTGGAATGGGCTGCATAGTTACTGGGTTTTCTGACGAAAACGCGCACAGAAGAGCTGTTGCTATCTGCAGCAAAAGCATGGCAACAGAAATGCCGAGTAGAAGGAAACTCACTTTACTATGTCTTTCAGATAATATTGTTGGATGCCAAATTCAGTGGCTGAACACATTCAAAAACTTCTTACATATCAAATCAAAAGCAGATTCTGTTTTACCTTGTTGTTGCTGCTTTCACTGATTTTCTTGAATATGAGAAACCTGAGTTTGGAAAGACTTTTGTGTTTTGTTTTGATGCCATATAACAATCTATGTGCAGAAGATACAAAAGAAAATAATATGGGAGAAGGTTAGTGCACTGGACTTATGCTTGTGTTGTGGATTAAATGATAGCCTTGGTTGTTCTGATGCTTAAGGTCCACGTGGAGCTTTATCATAGTAGTAGCTAGTAAGGTGCCAGACAACCTGAGAAGTATCTGGCTGTATAAAGTGCTGTTAGGAAAGGTGAATCTAATTCTATTTGTGATGTGACTTCTTTTCTTCAAACTGTTTTTCAGAGTATTCCATTCTTCATTGCTTTTATTGGGCTGGAGTTTGCTGTCAGCTGGGTTCAGAAGCGTAAGCTGTCAGGTCGGATTAATGATGGCATAAGTTCTCTTTCCTTAGGCATCCTGTCTCGACTGCCAGAGTAAGTATATGTGTTATATTAGCTTAAGATTGTTTTTTAATCACTAAGAAGGAAGAAAAGAGAATTATATATTGAAGTTGTTATTGCTAACCCAAAATGATTAAACAAGGCATCTGGATCTTACTTTGCTAAAATGAAGTTGCATGAAGAGTGTAAATGTCTTTCTAATCTGTAAGGCTAAATATCATACTTGCAGGGTATTTTCCAGCTCCAATTATATTCATCTGTATTTGATCTTGGCTGATTCTGGGACTTCAGCTGACTTGACCATATCTTATGTTAGACTGTATGTTAAAATCTGAGTTTCTTTCATTAAACTTCAGAAAGAAGAAAACAAAACCAACAAACCAAGCCAAGTCCATTATTTTCATTAGCCTTTAAAAATAAAATTGTGTGCATTTAAGCAGATTGATAGAACTGTGACTATGCGTGTGATCCAAAGTTCTTTGAACTCAGTTGTAATCTCGTGTTTGATTTCAGTGGATTTTAATGCCTGAGGGAATTGTTGCAAACATGATCATCTAATCTACTCTCCAATGTAAAGGCCATAAGATTTGCCTGAATTAGTTCACCATGAACAGAGTTGTGTTTTAAAGAAATATCCACTGTGGATTACTAAATATCCAGTAACAGGGAATCCAGCAAATTCTTTATATAAATTGCTCTAAATGTTTTTCAGGAGCTCTAATTACTTCTAAGGAATACCATGTTTTAGATCTGCCTTTGTATGATATGAGCTTCCAGATGATAGTTTTTTATTACATCTTTTCTATTAGAATGCGATTACATTTCTATTCCCCATGTAATAAATTTACAGATTACCATCAAATTGCATATAATCTGTTCATTGCATGAAGAAAAGTTTCTATTATTTGAATTTGACTATATGGTGTATTTTCAAGTCTTTCAGTTATTCCCACAGTCCTTTTTCTGAATCCTCTGCAGTTTTTCAGCCTTCTTAGTGTTGATGTCTCAAGTGCACTCCATATTTCAGAAACTACTACATCAGTGCCAAATAATGAAGTCATTTGTTCTCTATTTCTACTTGTTGTTCCTCCCTTTATATATCCCAGGTCCTTTGAGCAGTCCTTCATCCCCAAATATTTTTTTAGATTCTGTGGCTTACATTCCTCATTCATAGGCACTATGTTCTTATATTTGGCCACATAGAAATACATGGATTGTACATTTGGTCATCCTAAAATACTTTGAATCCATGAGATGTTGTCTTTGTTACTTAGAGATCCCTGGTTTTTGTCATTGCAAATTTTACTAGAAATCTCCTCTTTCAATCCAGGTTATTGATAAAATACATTCAAAGAGCACAGCAACAAAAACATTATCCCTTCTGGCAAGTAGCACCCATTTTCTGAAATGTGTAAATCACCCACTTTGTAATCTATTGAACATTTGACATTTACCTGATTTTTTTTTCAAACTTTCTAAGAAAAGTTTTGACAAGATCTATGTCTGTGCCTTTAAATTAGGTACAAAGACTACTTGTGATGGATTATGTTAGTTATCAGTAGTAAATACCATGTATAAAGCCTTTTAAGGAATTTGGTAGATAAATAATGTCACTTAAAGACACTCTCCTGAACTCTTCATATATCTACAAATAAGAGGCATGAGCTTTCAGCATGAGAAATATTCAAACGTAAAGTAAGGTCTAAGTTATTTGAGAATTTCATTAAGCTATTTTTGCGTCTAGTGTACAACCTATTGTCCTGGTTTCAGCTGGGATAGAGTTAACTGTCTTCCTAGTAGCTGGTACAGTGCTATGTTTTGAGTTCAGTATGTGAAGAATGTTGATAACGCTGATGTTTTCAGTTGTTGCTCAGTAGTGTTTAGACTATAGTCAAGGATTTTTCAGCTTCTCATGCCCAGCCAGGGCACCTGACCCAAACTGGCCAACAGTGTATTCCATACCATGGGACGTCCCATCTAGTTTAGGAACTGGGAAGAGGGGGGAAGGAAATCGCGGCTCGGGGACTGGCTGGGTGTCGGTCGGCGGGTGGTGAGCAATTGCCCTGCGCATCATTTGTACATTCCAATCCTTTTATTACTACTGTTGTCATTTTATTAGTGTTATCATTATCATTATTAGTTTCTTCTTTTCTGTTCTATTAAACCGTTCTTATCTCAACCCGTGAGTTTTACTTCTTTTCCCGATTTTCTCCCCCATCCCACTGGATGAGGGGGGAGTGAGTGAGCGGCTGCGTAGTGCTTAGTTGCTGGCTGGGGTTAAACCACGACACCTATATTCAAACCATTTTGTTGCTTTTAATATGACTTGTAAGCATGATCTTGAAGGAGAAACTTTCAATTTTTCATTATAATTTAAGCTGTTTAATTTAATAAATTAAATATTTATCAATACATTACACTTGTGTGCACCAACACACAACCCTGATAAAGGCTTACTCTAGTTTGCAGGCAGCTAATATTGAAATAGTTCAAACGACGCTTCTGCAACTTAACCCAAATTTTCTAGACAGTCATACACTTCAGAGGGTTACCATGCTAAACACATATTTTTTCATCTGAAGTATTCAGGACTGATTAAGTTAAACACGGGGACTGAGATACACGTAAAGTAAATTTGAATGGTTTTGCAAAGCCTTTTGGCTTTATTTTAAGAATACTGAAATGCTTCAGATGCACTTATTCATGGAAGAAATGATTGTTAAGAGAACTAGCGTTGCATGTGTGGAATGCAGCTTTGCAAGTTGCTGAGTACTTTTATTATTTTGGCACTCAGTACTTTGCTGTAGAATTTGGCTTGTGGGCTACGCAGTTTTCTTTTGGATAAGAATTATTTTGCAAGGTTGTTTCAAGTGAGTGAACCAAATGATCCATAAGGACACAAACTTTGCAGCATCAGGCAAATCTGCAGGATTGGTACACTTAACTCATTGCTACACAAGCACAAGAAGTCTCTTCCAGGTCACTTGTGTGGCTCTCATGGCTGAAAATACAAGACCCTCCTCAACAGTTCTTTCCAAAAAAAAGAGTTCTGTAAAGCTTTAAACTTTCTGGCTGAATGTGAAAGAAGCAGGCAAAATACAGACTTCCTAAATTATTTAATTGCATGTTAATATCACAATTCTGGTGGTGACTGCTCAGTATAACACCTCTTCTGTGAGTAAGAGGAGTTGTGAATAATAGACTGGCTAAAAAGGCTCTAACTGAAAAAAAACAGAACAGTTTACCGTTCTGTCTTCTGCCTCCATGGTGTGAAAGAACTGGGTCAGATAAAAAAGGGGGGTGGGGGGAAGCACATGCAAAATCTGTTGCTAAAACTTTCACTTCAGTCTTTCCTGTTCAGGCAGAAAAAAGGTAGGGAAAGCTGACAGAAACTGCTAAAACAATATTTCAGCAGAACCCACAGCATCAGGGGAAATACTAGTGCAAATCATTAACAGCTGAAGGTTAGATTAACACACCATTGATTGTATCCTCTCCCAGGGACTAATTTTCATTTTCTCAACTAGCAGCAATGGTTTGCCACTTCCTTAAAAAAATCTGTGGTTCAATCTAAAATGGTGGGCTTCAGTCTATTAGTTAGAATGAAGCTTCAGATGCATCATTGCAAAGAGGTCTTTATATTTAATGAAAAAATTAGGAGTCACAGACCATATTCAGCCTCTAAGTATGTTTTTCCATTGCACAGCCTGTATAACAGAAGTACTGCATATCTTGAGGGAAAACAGTATTTATTCAGTGTTTCTTACTTCATTGTTGGAGAAAATGCAAATCATAAATTGTTGATATTCATATGCCAAATATTAAAAATGTAGGTGTAAGTGGAAAAGTCTAATTGGACAAGGCAATGTGTTTTGTTTTTAGGCTTATTAGACTCAACAGCATATAGTAAGTTGAGTTGCTTTATGCGCACATACTGTCTCTTGTAAAATAGCCCATACATTTCTTAAATATAATTTTCTCTGCCTTAATGCATACTATGCATTCCTCTGCATGTATGAACACTAAATGTTATATGCAATGAAAAGTAATTTGGGGGAAAGGGAGAAACTTGAATTACTAAGCTTACTCCCAGCATCCTAAATGTTGGTGGTTAAAAAATTTCTGAGAACTTTTATTCTAAATAAATAAATAACTTTTCTAACTAACCATTGCCAGGAGACTTGAAATGCTGCTTTAAAAATATTCTCCCAAGAGAAAGTTTATTTTGGGTATAAATATCCACTATACAAGTATGTGCATTATTTCATATTGGCCCATTTCTTCTTTTAAAGCAGCAGAACGTAAATCAAATCAAAAAGTGTTTGGGGGATAACTGAGGTAGGTACATTTTCAAACTAGTTGGGAAAGTCTCCGTTCTTTATGGTCATGCCCAATTGCCAGTTTTTAGTGTTCAAGTCTGCAACACAGTCAGACAGTGTGTGAGTGTGTATATATATATATATATGTCTAAAAGAGTTTTGTTGGTCAAGTCTGCAGTAAACGTCTCCATTTCTAAAGAGAACATTACCATTTGTATACATTATTTACTTTGGTTTTTGAAACAGGAGATTAGAGTTCTCTGAAGCGTTGAACATCAGAAAGGAATGAGAAAATGCTTTTTGATTGGTTCATGCTATTATGCATCTTAAGATATCTGCACATCAGCAGTAACTGAATCAAAGGAGTACAAATCCTGTTTCTGCTGTAGACCAGGATATTCAGAGTTTTGTACATATCTAGATTTTAAATAATCTTCCAGAAGTTAGATTGGAGAGGCAGTTTCATGTACATTTTAGACCAGCACTGCTGCCAGATGAAGCACCTTTGACTTGTATTTCTGGTTGCTCATTCCTGCCTCTGTACCTTCTCTCCCCTTTTGCCAGCATCAGTGTCATGTTCCCCTGTGGTAAAGTGGCCCAGGAAGCAGGTCCAGCACCCACCCATCATATTAACCTGCATCAATTCTTACTATGGCTGTGCAGAATCTTGTGCTAGCACAAGAAGTGGGCTTGGAAAAAAGCAGTCAGTTGCAG